CGTATAGTTGAAGAGGGTTGCTCTTAGTCAGAGTAGATTTCTCCTGTTGGCAATCCTGATTACTACTCTACACTCTTGCTCTCTGAAAAAATATTCCCGAGCAGCTCTCGGTTCGACCAAGCAGTCATACATAATTATAGTTCCCTAGTAAACTACTCTGATACCATAAAATGTAACAGCCCGTTACGTACCGGTATTGTTAACATTGATTATGATACAATCTTCCTCATGATCAACATACAATGTTCATGACCTAAGTCTAGCCTAGGTCAAATAGCCACAAAATGCAAAATGGGCTATAAGCTCTCTTGCTCATCCTACGGGCCTCTTGCCCGCCGCTCCAGTGCCACTGCCACTACCTGAAATAAAGTTCCTAGAACGAGGTGAGATATACGAATATATCTCAATAACCTAGAGGTTCTGGAGATTACTCCGCCCAATAGCTCACTCAGATGTACATTAACAATATACCACAACATACAAAAAGGGATAAAGCAAGGGATTTAGTGAAGTAGGGAAGCATATGGAGTAAAAATACGATGAAGTTGGAATGTTCGATACCAAAACCACGCAACATCCAGCCTAGGGGCCTCGACATATAGCCTACGGGTTCATATAAGGAAGTGTTCCCAGAACATCAACCAAGGCACCCTCCATCCATATACACCCGAGACTTTCCTAGTGTGCTCCTCAGCGGATAACACACCACGACCCTAGGTCAACTGGAACTCCCTCATGGAGACCTATCTAGTGAGAGTCCATAACGCCCGAAGGCAACAATCTATTGGCCAGAGACACAGTACATCCTATATATGTTTGGCAAATTGAGACCTCCTACTCAATTTTACTTTCCTAGGGTTATGTGTTTGGCAAATTATCATTTTACCCTTTTGTATATTGACCCTATCACTGGTCTGGGTCTAACTATGGGAACAAGGATAGTTGGTACTCGCTCACGAGTACATCCTAATTCGCGTCCCGCCTGTCTATTACGTGGAACATCCAGAGATAGCTGCGGCTCAGGCTGTGTCTGTGTCGGGGGTGCCTCAGGTCCAGGCTCATCTACCCATGAAGACTCCCGAAAAATCCCAATAATTCGACCAATCTCGGTGTGGATGTACTCTAAACCATAGCGAGGAAACTCCTCAGTAGTGGTTGCATGATACAACATCTCTAGCCCATCAATCTGTAAATAACAATGTATAAACAATTATTAAAATGTACAATAATTATGTTTGCTAAAATAAATGAGAAACTCACCATGCGTCCAATCTTTGCTGCCCTCCGTGAAATGTATCTCTTTCCTCTAGCTCTGTACCACTCCATGTACTCATGGTTAGGTGACCTCAGCCCAAGTAGTGGAGGGGACAACGATATGCTGCTCCTTGACCTTCCATCTAGCTATCCAAGGACGAAGTTTACGCCTCCAGTTCTCATCAACCTTCCCGCGCAGGGTATGATTATAGACCCTTTTCAACTTCCTAGACACATCCGGGATGGGCTGACCTAGACCAAACTGCCGCATGCACCTGTTCGGTTGATTGGCCTCTATGGTAAGGAAGTAAATATAGGGTGTGACAGCATACCAAAGATACCGCTGCTGCGGAGTGACATCCAACCCTACGTAATCTAAATATGGTTGCCAAACCACCTACACGGAAAACAATAATGAAAATACGTTGTTAATTAAAAGATACATGCATGGTGTACTAAAAAGATACTAAGTAGATAAAACTATACCTCATCTCTACATAGGGTGTCCAAGGTTTCCCGATAATGTACAACATCATGCGCCTTAAACTGCCTGACAGTATTAAACCTATAATGAGAAACATATATTATTAAGCAAATATACAATTAGTAATTACATTGTTCATTACCAAATACGATTGAATCTAATAAACCATACCGGCATCCATAGTGCGTGCTAGGGTCAGGAGGAGGAGGAAGGGGTGGAAATCGAATCCATGTCCAAATCTGTAGAAGAATGTGGCACCCACCCATGTCAGATCGACTGACATCTGTACACTCGCACAAATTCCTGAACAAGTGTGCCAGAATCGCAGATCCCCAGCTAAAACTGCCAATCTCATCAAATCCTCCCCCAAGCAACGGGACTAGCCGACAACCTATGTTGCTACCTCCAGACCCGTCTGCTAGTAACCAACACCCTAGCATGCGGGCAATGTGCGGCTTCGTGAAATATATCTCTCGATCATGAACCCCAGCTGCATCACTCCACCGGGTATATAAACGATCAAAGAATGAGATACAGAGGTCACCTGATCCATGAAACTCACTGGCTAGTGGCTCCGCACCAAAAATGGCAGCACAAATAGCAGGCCAATCCTCGTATGTAGATCCGGTAACGACATACCCGTCAGTAGGCAATCTCAGTATGCCAGCCACATCCTGCAAGGTGATAGCCATCTCACCCTATGTCATGTGGAACGTATGTGTCTCTGGTCTCCACCTCTCGACCATAGCACTAATCAATGGGACATCAATTTGAAATAAATTATACAATTATCACATGTTAAGTCAATGTATTGAATAATCACATAAATTGTAACGTCGAAAGTTGCATACCTGGATACGTCGCATACGTGCTACATGTATAAATCTAGCCTGTGTGAGGTAGTCAACGACAACCTCTGGAATAGTGCAGGTAGGTGGCCCCCCTTGTGGTTTGCCACGCCTGGTCTTCAACTGACGCACATGTTCCGTATTCCACACTCGCTGTGAAATATGGGCACTCTGCGTCCTCTTCTGAAGGACCTCCCATCTATACGGCCCAAGTATGATGTACATAGTAGGATCAGTAGGCTCTGGATCGTGATTGGATACAGAACCCGCATATGATGATGAATCACCCATGATAAAAAAAACTATATAATATAAAACAACATTGAAATTAATCACATGTAACAGCAAATTTTATGTAAAAATTAATTAAGCAATGCCCTAATTTATTATCAAAATTATTAAGCATAAACCCTACGTATTTACTACAATCGTAATTAATGACATAATATTAATACGTAGTACACTAATTTATTTATCATGAAATAATAATAAAACCTCTGACACTAATTAAATCATAATGACACAATACTAAACCCTAAGTCACTAATAATTTCATAATTATATAATAATAATAACACCTAAGTCACTAAAAAGTTCTTAATACACTACAACATTCATAACATGGTACAAAAATTACGAAGTCACTATCACTATTTTCTAAATCACTAATATACGCTAAATCCCAATGCATAATTAAATAATAATAATAATAATAGCTACGTAACAAAAAAATTACTAAGTCATTACAACATTCATAACATGGTACAAAATTCCTAAGTCACTATCATTATTTTCTAAGTCAATAATATACAATAAATCCTAACATATTCGTGACGTAGCACTGTAATTTAAACGTATACATAGCAGGTATTAGGAACTTACCTAAGTTAGCAGAGCTTCGCTACGAAAAATTCCACGTACGGTTGAGAGCACAACTTGGTTAGAGAGAGGTAAGAGTGAGAGTGAAATGATAAAAACAGGGGTTTATATAGGGTCAGTGAGTGACGCCCCTTTTAGACATCACTTGTCACGCTTGGTTTGGGCGTGACCCACCAGGACGTGACTCCCTCTTTGGGCGTGATATGTGACGCCCAAGAGGGGCATGACATTGTGCAATAAATGTGTAATTTTTTACAAAACTGTAACAAATGCGTAATTTTTTATTTAAAATACAATATATTAATTTTTTTGCCTCTATTAAAATCTTTTAAAATCAATCTTATGAAATTTTGATTATAAAAAAAGTCTTTTGAAAATGTATTTAAAGTCCTTCGAATTCTAGAAAATCTTTTAAAATCTACAACAAAAATTATCTCAATTTTTTTTTAAAAATCCTAATTCAATATATCCCCTAAATAAGAAAAGTTTGAGGGGGGATATAGAGAGAAATAAAAAATAATAATACGTAATTAAAGTGGAAATTTTTTTTAATACAATTTGCTCCCTATAGGCATGTTATTCCCGGTGCTACGAGAGTAGGTATTAATTTAATAAAAAATAAATAAAACTCAAGCATCATTAATTATAAAACGGGGAGTGAAATTTGTAAAGTTAAATTAATTATTATTTTCAATTTTTTTTTTTTTTGGTTCTAAAAAGGTTAAGTGGGGTTAGACACTGGTATCCCACTAGGGTCAGGGAAGACCCACTAACCTCTTTGAGGATTTCTGGGAGGGATTACATATTACCCACCAACAAAGTCCTCACATCGGCCAGCGCCACGCCCTTGAAGAGTATGGATCAAACTCATAGCCAATTGTGCCCACCTTTGGCTATTATTTTCAATTTTAACAAGTGATATAACATGAACAATTAACAATAATTATACATTTTTCATGCACAAAATATGTAATGAGTAAGAGTTTAAATGCGCCAGCTGCGAGGAGACCTATTATGGGCTTATGGTTAACCTACTTTAGGTCAAGCTTGATATATAATATTAAGTAAAATAGAATAAGCTCAATCATTCGAAAAACCCTATGTAGAAAGTGGACTATAAACTTTCTTTTACAAGTCCTAACCTATAAAACTTTAGACTTACTTATATTATATTATTTATTTTATTATTTAATTTATTTAAAATAATAAAGTAATATTATTTTAAATTTTTTAATTCTTAAATGTCTAGTAGGCTTAAATAAATTAATAAATCTATAACAAGCCTTTTATTTTTTAAATATATAACTGACTAGAATTATAATTATGCAAGAGCTGAGGGCTAATACAGTGAAAGGCAAAAATAAAATAATAAAAAAGCTTCAGAACTCATATGACGAACTAGTTTGAAAAATTGATACCCTTTAACCAACCCACAACATGAACACAAAGCATGTGTAATATAGACTCAACTTTTTTTTTAACTTGGTTCTATTTTTCTTTTTCCAGATCACTCCATTTGAAATTTATATATTTGATTACTTTGCTTGCGCAAGCATTTCAACCACTTCTCTCATGGTTGGTCGTTCCACGCTATGTTCATGAACACATAACATAGCCACAAAAAACACTTGTTTTGCTTCATATAAAGGAATGTGATGTAGCCTCTCATCAAGGATCTTCATCACCATCTCTTTATTCCAATTTGTTTGCATCTTGGTCCATTGAACAATGTCTAATCCTTCTTCATCAAAATCCCCCACTGGCCTTCGCCCTGTTATGAGTTCTAGCAACACCACTCCAAAACTATAAACATCACTTTTCTCATCAACTTTCAATGTGTATGCATATTCTGCATCATAAATTAAAATCAGAAAAAAAAAAGTTAGCCTTTCACAGTTTTAAGCTCTAAAGTTAAAGTAGCCATGACAATATAATAAAAATTTATTTTCCAAAAAAATAAATAAATAAAAGTACACATTATAATAACTTAATAAGAAAAAGAGGGTAGGGAAGAATGGTCCAATATTATTTTACAGAAAAACAAGGGAAAAAGCTTCATTTTAATTTTCCCAAGTCAAAAATCAAATCTGTGAAAAGATAACTTAGTTGTGTCTTGTGCCTAGAAATTCTTCATGTTTCTTTATTTTTAATTTTTTTTCTGGGGTTGTGAGAAAGTGAGTGTTAGATCCCAATCTGAAACTGTGAGGAGAAAAAGATGTGTTTGGTTAATGTGCCTTTTGTGGCTGTTACATATATGATAAGGGGAAAAAGGATGGCTGTGATTTGTTGTGGTTTAAATTTGGGTTTGTAGTTTCAAGGCATGAAAAAGCTCATACCAAGTGTACTAAAAAAAAAAAAAAGCGCATACTAAGTTAGTGTGAAGAAAGCAAAAAGGATTCCCATTGTGCTAGTGGAGCCTTTACTCAGTCTAGGAATCCACATTGTGGTCCAAAAGAAAGAGCAATTGTATGCTACGGTGGTGAAGGATATAAAAGAATATTTTTCTACCCAAAAATAAATGAAAAGTATGTTCAACCTAAGGACCTTTTTTCTATGAATATTTGATTTTGATTGTTAAATTGAACAAAATAAAATAAAAAAGCCTCAATTAATCACTCTGCTTGACATTACTGCCCTCTCATTTTTTCTTCTTTTGGGCTGCTAAGTAATAATGTCTCCTGAACTTGAAGCTAGTTATGCTAACCAATGAGTTTGAGGAAGAAGATATAAACAATAGTGATAGGATTTTTACTCACTTCACTTGGTCAAATCAGTAATCTAAATAATAATGTCCTCTGAACTGTCTTTTATTTTATTTTATTTTTGGGGATGGTGCTAAGTAATAATGTCTCCTGAACTTGAAGTTAATGATGCTAACCAATTAGATTGAGACAAAAGATATAAATCTATGTGCAGTACTTATCATTTTGCTAGCTAACTAACTAGTTAACTAACAAACTAATTAACTATATATATATATATATATATATATATATATATATATATATATATGAATATTTAAAGTAAGTGTATACCTGGAGCTATATAGCCATAAGAACCAGCAATGGAAGACATGCACTCTGATGTCCCGGTATCTTGCATGAACTTGGCAAGTCCAAAATCAGCAACATGAGCCTCAAAATCAGAGTTCAATAATATGTTGTTTGACTTGACATCTCTATGGATTATAAGAGGGGAACAATCATGGTGCAAATAACAAAGTCCTTTTGCAGCTTCTGTGGCTATTTTCAGCCTAGTATCCCACTTGAGAAACTCACCCCTTTTCCCATGCAAGACTTCACCTAAGCTTCCATTTGGCATGTAATCATAAACAAGTAAATTGGTTTCTCTATTTGAACAAAATGCTAGCAACCTTACAATGTACCTGTGCCTGATTCTACCCAATGTCTTTATTTCTGCAGAGAAGCCATTATCATGAGAAGAGCCATTGTTGATTCCCAACAATTTCTTCACAGCCACTTCCTCTCCATTTGGCATGGTTCCTCTGTATACAACCCCAGATCCACCTCTTCCTATGACATTGCTTTCCTTTATGCACCCTATGATGTCTTCACTTCCATATTCCAGCTTCTGAAATGTTGTGAGCTTCCATGAATTGGAGTGCCTCCTTGCCTTTCTACTCTTGATGATGGCTAAGGTTGCAAACAACAATGAGCATCCCAACAATGTCATTGCAAAAAGGAACTTAAACTGTCCAGGGACTCCAGGTTTTGCACTTTTTTCTTGAGACTCCATTACCCCAGTTGAAGAAAGGTTGCATGGTTTGAACTCATATCCACAGAGCTGAGGGTTACCCACAAAGGATGTAGAATTAAAGACTGAGAATTGTCCCTCTTCAGGTATTGAACCAGAGAAGTTATTGTGAGAAAAATCTGCTGAAGTTAAGCCCTTCATGGCCCCAAGTTCCTTGGGAAGGCTTTGGTTTAGGTGGTTCCATGAGACATTAAGATAGTTCAATATATGAACTTTAACAACTTGAACTGGGATAGGGCCTGATAGTTGGTTTTGGCTCAAATCTAAATAGGTGAGTAAGACACAGTTACCTATCTCAGGAGGAATACTACCTGAAAAGTTGTTAATACTTATATCAAACTTGACAATACTTTTCAATCTCCCTATATCTGGTGGGATTTCTCCTGACAATCTATTTCCACTAAGCAGCAGATATTGCAAGTTGGGAAAATTTGCAATTGAAGTTGGAAGAGACCCTGAAAAGTTATTGTTTGATAGATTCAACTGTTCAAGTTTGGAGGATGTACTATTTGTTTTTTGTGGAACCTCACCACTAAGATAATTGTTCTGTAGTTCCACAAGTGATAGCTCAGGCAAATACAGAAAACCATGTGGAAGTGGCCCAGTCAAATAGTTCTGACCCAAACGAACTCTTTGGAGTGTGTAACATTGACCAAGACCATCAGGCAAAGATCCAAACAGAAAATTTTTTAGCAAGATCAAAATCTTCAGCATCTTTCCAAGGCATAGAGATTTTGGCACTAAACCAGTGAGCTTATTTGTTGACAAGTCAAGCTCAGTCAATCTTCCATTCTGGCCAAGCTTTGAAGGAATTTCACCAGTGAAGTTGTTCTGCCACAGCTTCAGCACCTCCAATTTTGGTAGCTCAGCAATGAACTGAGGAATTTCTCCATGAAACCTGTTGATGAATAAGTTCAAGAGGATAAGTTCATGAAGGCCTGAGAACTCATTTGGGATATCTCCTGTGAGTTCATTGATTGATAGATCAAGAAATTTCAAGCTACTCAAGTTTCCTAGCTGGGGTGGGATTGAACCACTAAGCTGATTAGTTTGCAAGAAGAGTGTGTCTAACTTGTAGAGGTTGCCCAACTCAGCTGGAATTGAACCTTCCAAGCCACATTTTGCAAGGTCTAGATGAACCAAATTGTTCAGGTTACCAAAATGAAGAGGAATTCCACCATCAAATTGATTGAAGTATCCCAAGTAAAGATAGGTCAGATTAGTGAGATTTCCAAGCTCACTGGGTATGAAACCACTCAAATCATTTCCTGCAAGAGACAGAAAGTTGAGCTGCCCCATGTTTCCATAGCTTGGAGGGATTTTCCCTGAGAAGTAATTCCCACCAAAATTCAAGTGCTTGAGCTTAAGGAGCTTAGTGACACCCTCAGGAAGTGAGCCATTGAAATTGTTGTCATAAGCATCTAGCACTTCAAGCTCTTTCAATTGTGAGAATTCCCAACTCAAGTTCCCACTGAACATATTGTTGGATATGTTGAGGAATCTCAACTGTGCAAGCTTGTGAATATCAGCTGGGAAATCTCCAGAAAACCCATTTCCTTGGAGTGAAACATTGACAAGGGTGAAGAGTCCTGTGATGGAAGGTGAAAGTGACCCAGAAGCATTCAAATTGGATATATCAAGTGACACCACAGACCTGTTATTATGGTCACATTGAATGCCATACCAAGTGCAAAGGGACAAGTAGCTAGACATGTCCCAGGTGCTCAAAGAAGAGTTAGCAGCTTCAAAATCTTGTTTCAAAGAAACCAAGATAGAAGCTTGCTTTCTCAAAGAAAAAGGAAGTGAAGAAACAGAAGCAAGACTAGTGAGGCACACAAAGTGGAAGAGGATGCAAAAGAGTACAAAACTGAAAGAAGGGGAAGTGGCCATTTTGGGATAACTTGTTTAAAGAAGGAGGACACTTGAGGAACCAAATACACTATAAGAGTGAAAGAGAAGTGAGAACAATTCATAGACCTTATACTGAATATTTAGTATCAAATACAAATGGGTTCATGAGGAGAGTTCTCTAATGAAGGCATAGAAAGCTAACAGCATCCAATGTTCTTCTCTTTCTTTCCCTTCTTTCTTCTCTTTATCCTTTATCTCCCTCCCTTCACATTCACGCACACACTTACACACTACTTTGGTATCATCTTTAGCTTTTAAAAAGCAAAAGCAAAAGCAAGTGTTGGGATAGAAAATGCACAACCACGGACAGTTTCATCACCCAATTAATATTTGTGTGGCTTTGTGTCGGTTTTTTAGACCAATTTCACCATTGGCCTTTGCTTTTTTTTTTTTCCTTTGGTTATGAACTTCTCAGGGTCCAGCATGGCAGCTAATTCAGAATTAGAATCTTCATTCATGCAGTTGAAGGGATATGATTAAATCATTTATGGATGTTTATAGGTATCAATCATGGCCGTGAATAAAACTTTAAAAATTTTAAGCCAGGCTGAGTGCACCTTTTTATATGGCTACTCTCATGCATAAATGGATGTCAGAAAAGCAAAAGGACCCTGAAAAGAAATTGAGGCGTGGAAGGATAGGTATTTTTACAATTTTTCTGCTAAAAAATGAGGCCTTTTGACCGTATATGCAAATAAACGAACATGTAACGGGGTTAGTTCTTTTCACAAATTATTTATTGCTAATGAAATATGTATGAGAAGTATATGCGTTTAAGTCACACATCACCTTTACGTGCAACTTGAGTAAAATGCAAGACACTCACATTTTCATTTGGCAGTCCGCATTAAAGTTGTGTACACACCCATGCATGTCTTTTAGGGAATGACACGCGGCGGATATGTTTTGACTTTTGCACAAGTCAGGCCGGACATAATGCACTACATAAATACATATACTCCCATCCATGGTAGTTAAAATCAGGATTTTACCTAAAATCGGAATGAGGATAAAAAATCGTAAAACGTAAAATCCTAACGTAAAAAAAATCGTAAAAATCGTAAAAGCGTTTGGAGTTTTGATGAAATCGTTTTGATTAAAAAAAATCGTAAAATCATAAAATCGCAGATTTAAATCGGGATTTTAACTACTATGGTCCCATCCATGCATGGGCCAAAAAGCGTAAAATAAAGTTAGTCGATGTAAGTATTGGTTGAAATATATTTAGTCTAAGACATGTTGTGTTCTATCATAAGAATAGAGATGTCTAGTAAAAAACTAGTGAGTTTATCTTGGATCTATGACTTTCTTAGGTATTTATGATTGAGTGTAAGCAGATCAATGTGCACTATAATAGACGGCATAGCCAAGGCGTGTGATGTGTGCAGTGACAACTAATAAGAGGGAAAAAGTGTGTATTTGTATTTGTAGGCTTTACCTCTTATTTATAGAGTTTGCCTATGGATAGTGGAATTTTGGACCTCTTGTGTATTTTTGGAGTCCAATGCTTGATCCATTGCTATCGCACTAGAATTAGTATAATTAAGGAATATTTCCTTAATATTCCTCTTAGTTGTTTGTGCTTCTTCGACCTTCTAGAATATGGGCCTTTATATCAGATCTATAACGCGTTGAACGAGAGACATTCTTATTTACCAAATAATGGTAGCTCATTTGGTAGCAAGAGAGCTGAGGTAGTGGAAAAGAAAGGGCTTCGGTTTAATCCCCACATATCACCTTTGTGAGGGGCTTAAATATTTTCATCTTCGACTGGCCCCGCACTCCGGATTAGTCTTATAGCCGAATCAAAAGCCGAAGCTTATGGGGATATGGGGGGAAGCTAATTCACCTCAATGAGATAATTAGGATTAGGTAACTCCAAAAAAGAAGAATACATTCTTATATAAATTTGATGTATTTAAATAGTATAACTAGGATGACTATCAACAAGTATTGGATTATTAAGTAAATTAAGTTATTGGTTAAACTGCTTTAACCAAATTTATATAAGATTATGGAATAAATATAATGATGAAAGTATTATAATAAACATCTAAATCATATGATTTAGTACTTAATGTTGCATGTATTTTTCATTAGTACTCACGTGTTCAAACTCTATGTAAGGACACTTAATTTACAATGCAGTCATATACTCATATTTGTCTTTTATATGATTTTATACCATTCAATATTAACACCAAAACAATTAAACTTTATTTAAAAACAAAGATGTTTGATCCTAAAGAATCGTAATGATATACTGTATGGTATGCGCTCAGAAATACCTTAGGGATAGGTATCCAGATCGGCTTATAGCCAATACTCTAATCACTGCGCACAAGCAAGGGACTTTTAGCCAAGACGTGGGTGTGTGCATAGTATTGGCACCAATAGTAAAATAGGTAAGAAAATGTGTACATGGGGGTATTAAGCCTTGTATTTATAGGAGTTACCTCTTGGGCTGTGTAGATCTCCCAGTTGGAGTAGGATTCAACTCCTTTTCTGTAGGGATAGAGATTCTATCCTCAGTAGTTTTATTGTTTCATGCTGTTAGGATAATTGGGTCATTATCCTTTAAGGGATTCTTGGGTAGGTAGTTAGGATATAGATATATTCCATAACAGTTGCCCCCCAGCCCGGTATTGCGAAGCTCGGAATGCCAGGGTGTTGAAGTATTATCTCGGACTCCGTCTGGCCGAGGTCATTTATTTTGATATTATGCTCCTTTATGGTCATACCGAGGATTGGAGTGTGAACCCGACATTTAAGATGTCGGTTGGGTTATGAACCCGACATGGAAAGTTTTTCCTTTCCTTATTTCTGTCGAGATCTCCTTTGTCGTGTTTGGTCGTGGCGTAGATCTCGACCATCATGTCGTGGATAAGACTGCGTCTAACCCTTGTCATGTCAGCGTGACACTTCACTTAAATTCTGACGGTTAGGAGCTCCATGTGTCTCATGCCCATTGGAGGTTCGTGTGTCGTGGACAGTGCGCCGTTCTGAACCCATGTGGGTCATGATTGCTCCTATTGAATGCGTGGGGGTGATTTTACCTCCTTGCCCTTGGCTTTTTAATCATTTGTAACCCTCTTGTATTCGCCCTTGAGGCAAACGTTTGCTTTAAATTCTCCATCTCGCATCATTTGCAGGGTTTCATTTCATTTTTGCTTCTGGTGTTTTTCTTCGCGTTTCCTAATTCCTTTGTTGTTGCTCTTTGCGAAGATCATCGGAGGTTTCTAAGTTTTCCTGTTCTTCCTTCGTTTCCCGTAAAACAAGTATTTTCTCCCCTCCTATTTCCTTTCGCCATTAGTTTGAGTAGCGTTGTAAGGTTTTTCGGTAGTTTTCCATTCTCTGATGTGGAGGGACCTTGAGTCACGTCCCTTCATTGTACTCCCATTTGAGTGTCTTGAGAGAAGTTCTTCTCTTCTAGACTGATAATAAGTGTCCCTAGTTCATTTTCTGGCTCGGCTGCTAGCCGAGGTGGTGGGGGAGATGATGTTGATGAGGAAATGGTGAAGCAATTGCCTCGGTCAGTTCAATACTGGCTCTTTGGTAAAGAGTACACCAAGGAGGAGAAGCTTCAATAGCTTCTTCGAGGTCATTGAGGGGGTCATCGAGGTCCCCGAGGTGGACGTGGCAGGAGAGGACGAGGTAGGAAAGGAAGAGGGGGCGTTAGCCTCAGCTTAATTTTGGTAATGCTGTTTATAATAGCCCATCTTAATTAATTAGTAAATCAAGTGTAATTAATTAATTAAGCATGTTTTACTGAGCGAAATTAAGTACAATGCTTAATTAAATGAATCTGAGTCGCTTTGGAGTTAAAAAGTGTACTCAGTGAGAATTAAGGGGTATAAATGGGTACTGGCAAAAGTACCCAAAATATAAAAATAAAAATAGTAATATTCCTAGAATAATATTCCAGACTTTTGGGTAAAGTTTGGTAATTATTGGAGTTGAATAGATAGACGAACTAATACCCGCTTAAAGCCACTTAACCTATCTTAAGTGACTAAGAGCCAAAGGAACCCAATTCCCCCCTGTAACTCGTCGAGAAAGAAAACAGAAAGAAGAAGAAGAAGAAGGAGAAAGGAGGGAGAAGGAAGGGAGGAAGAGAGAGAGATCAAACCTTGACCGTTTTGGGTGATTCAAAAGCCTAAATCGCTTAGAATCTCGCCCTCTTTCATAATCTTAGCTTTGTTTTGAGTGGGGAGCATTGTGGAAAGGGATATTGCCTCTCAAAAATTCGGCCATTTGAGAGATTTTGGGGTTTGGGGAAGTTCAACCTCCATGGGAGCTTGAGGAACGCTCCTTGCTTGGTTGTGTGACCATTGGTGGTAAGATTCTAACCCTTGAACCTCATGATTCCTTGAAATTTGTATGAGTTAGGGTTTATGAATAGTGTTTTAGGGATTTTGATGAAATGTTGTTAAATTAGCTATGTTCTAGGAAGAATGGAGCTTAGAGTATGTTGTGAAAAATGCTAGGAACGACATTTAATCGGTGATAATGAGCTTAGATAGCTAAATGCTTATATTTGGAAAATTGCAAGAATATGACACTTGGTTATGCGTTTTCTTGCATTGTTGAACCATTGTTTGGTTGGTCATTGATTGTATCCTTGTGTTGTCTAGGATTGAGGTAATTGGATCAACCTTAATTGACCAACCTTTGGAGCAAGCAATGGAGATGGATTAGTCCTTGAAATAGGTAAGTTCATCCTTGTGTTGTGGTATGAATAGGATAGCTTGGATTGATTATGATGAGTTGTCCTTGAATGCAATATGTTAATTGCATTACCCTTGTATAGGTGTATGTTTGTAAAAGTTGATTGCTGAAACTGTTGGTGAAGAACAAAGGTCGACTGAAGCATTGAGGTAAGCCTTCGGACCTTGGGTGTAATTCCCTTGACTATTCTACCAAGCCCTGAAAGGGTAGAGGTTGTGATTGTGTATATAAATGCAATAAAATAGTGTAAT